GGCTCCTGCCTGTCCCCTCCTCCCCGCTTCTACCTCCGATACAGAGGCAGCAAAGGGGTATGTGTGCGTGCAGTCATGATAAGCCCAGGCTTATCGGTTAACCATGCATATGACTACCTGCTGACTCCCTAACCTGAAGACACATGACCTAGGGGATTAGCCGGGGGTGTGAAGATTGGAAGCTTGGCATCTCAATTCTTACCCCTCCTTTGGCACCCAGCTGCATAGAGTACAAGAGCCGGTGCCCTGAAGAGTTTACCATGCAGAAAGGGGGAAGGAGTGCAGCACGCAAGCAAAGAGATGGAGAGTTTTTCTCCTCATTCGAGAGGCTGGGTGGCGAAGGTGTAAGCAGCAAGCTGGAGTCGGGGTTGGGGAAGGGGAAGAGGGAGACAAAGGGAGAGGGATGGCTGGAGAAGCGTAGGAAGGGCAGGGAGAGTGAGGTTGGCTGCAGAAAGACAGTGATTGAGAAGATCTAGTAACCCCCCTCTCCCCACCTTGGGTGCTTTTGAGCGGCTGCTAAACCTCTTCACCTGAAGAAGCAGGCTGTGCCCACGGAAGCTCAGGATCCCACCGATACGTTTTGTTCGTCTTTAAGGTGCTGCAGGACCATTCGCTGTAATTAAAAAAACTCTCAGAACACAGACTAACATGCCTCCACCTCTGAGGCTGCTAGACTGCAGACCATGGGAATAAACAGCAGCTCTCACAACAACACACCCTGCACCGAGAGAGCTTCTTCCTGAGGCTCTCAGAGTACAAACACTCCTCCAGTTAGCCTCGTGCGGCACCCTGCCTGTCAGGTAGGTGTTAGCCGTGTGGGGAATTGGGAAACTAAGGCACCCTAAGGTTGCTTGTTGTCGCAGCAAATCTGTGGCACTGGAGGAATGGACCTTCGCAAGGCGTTTACAATAGTTGGCCGTGAGCTGGCCAATTCAGGAAAGGGAATGAAGTGAAAAGCTTGGGGTTGGTTTTGCTCGAGTGTCGTTTTCGTTTAGGAAATCCTGTGTAAATGTGATTCCTATTCCTTTGCGCTTTTTTGGTGCATTTGCTCTAGACCATGCTGTCTGACTAAAAGCACACCTTCCTGTAGGCTCCGCTTAACAAGGGATTATGGGAAGGCTGAGGTCAGCCGAAAATTACCGACCTCACCGAATCCTGACCCTAGTTGGGTAATCCATAAATTGTCACAAATATACTAAGTGTTCGCTGTGTCCTAAAACGACGTGGATAATTTGTCAAACTAAAAAGCTCACTTTAGAGGTGGATGACGACAACTCCATGGAGGAATCTAATTTTTTTTTAAATATTTTGATCAGCTTCTCATATTGGAGGGTGTTCTAGTGGCTGCTGGGAGATGCTATTCTGGCGTGTTTCCAAGGCGACAATGAAATAATCGTCACACATTCCTTGTCCCTCAGATTTATTAAGGGACATTATTAAGGGCCCAAAGGCAAGCTATTCTGCTGCATTGGAAAGATAGAAAATACGGCAAAAGACCACCTTGGCTTAACCACGAGATCTTGCATGATCTAAAAATAAAAAAGGAGTCATATAAAAAATGGAAAGCAGGACAAATTACAAAGGATGAATATAGGCAAACAACACAAGAATGCAGGGACAGACAGGATTAGAAAGGCAAAGGCACAAAATGAGCTCAAACTAGCTACGGGAATAAAGGGAAACAAGAAGACTTTTTATAAATACATTAGAAGCAAGAGGAAGACCAAGGAGAGGGTAGGCCCACTGGTCAGTGAGGAGGGAGAAACAGTAACCGGAAACTTGGAAATGGCAAAGATGCTTAATGACTTCTTTGTTTCGGTCTTCACCGAGAAGTCTGAAGGAATGCCCAACATAGTTAATGCTAGTGGGAAGGGGGTAGGTTTAGAAGATAAAATAAAAAAAGAACAAGTTAAAAATCACCTAGAAAAGTTACATGCTTGCAACTCACCAGGGCCTGATGAAATGCATCCTAGAATACTCAAGGAGCTGATAGAGGAGGTATCTGAGCCTCTAGCTATCATCTTTGGAAAATCATGGGAGACAGGAGAGATTCCAGAAGACTGGAAAAGAGCAAATATAGTGCCCATTTATAAAAAGGGAAATAAGAACAACCCAGGAAACTACAGACCAGTTAGTTTAACTTCTGTGCCAGGGAAGATAATGGAGCAAGTAATTAAGGAAATCATCTGTAAACACTTGGAAAGTGGCA